TTGCCAGCTGGGGCCAAAGGGCAGTATGACGAGGGCTAAAACAGGAAGGCACTTTCCCCAGGGCTGAGTCCTTGCCCTTCAAAACTCCAGGAGGGCCCTAGGGGGCCCCTCTCCCCCCATCTGGTTGAACCCTGGGCCAAGGGGTAGGAGGACAAGCAGCACGGCGTGGGGCACTTCAGGAAATGGGAAAGCCAAGACGTCTGTGTTGCACCGCAGCTTCGGGAGGGGAGTGGGGTCTAGTAGATAAGAGCTCAGGGGCTGGCAGCCAGGATGACCAAGCTCTGGGAGGTGAGTGGGGTCTGGTAGATAAGAGTTCAGGGGCAGGGAGACCAGATGCCTGAGTTCTACCCAAGCTCTGGAAAGGAAATGGGATCTGGTGCCTAAAGAGCAGGGAGTGAAGGTGGGGACTGGGAACCAGGATGCCTGGGTCCTCTCCCATTTCTGGGAAGGCAGTGGAGTCTGATGGGTAAGCACAGAGTGGGTTGCAAGCCGGGATGCCCGGGTTCTTTCCCTGCTGGGGACTAGTTTCTAGCACCCCCTGGAGGGGAAAAGCCCCCCCCATTGCCCTAAGCGCTGAGGCCAGGCCTACCCCACCCATAGAGCACCCCCTCCTCCACCATACCTGGGTCTTGGCCTCGCCCTGCCCCAGCCAGGCCCTGTCCCCGAGCCCAGGGTGCCTTGGCCATGGTGTCCGGCCCTCGGGGGGTTTGATCAGCATCCTGCCTGCCTGCTGCTTCCTTCTCTCACGGCCAAACGCCTACTGACGTGCTGGGACCTTGGCCTGGCTCAGAGGCGTAATATCCGCAGCCCGGCCAGGGGAATTCTGCAGTCAATGATGCCTGGCGGGGAGAGGAACTGGCCTATTGACACCACTGTGCAGGGGCTGTGTGTGTAGGGAACACATGCCCTGCTCTGAGATGCAGCTGCCTCTGGGGTGGCACATGCCAGGGGGACGTGGACCCAGAGTCCTATCAACACGCAGCCACTTCTGTTTCTACTCAAATCCCCTGGAGCTCATGCTTGGTTCCATACTGCTTGCAAAAACACCCTGAGGTGTTTACTGTAGGACCAACAAAACCCTTGTTTTTGTCTGGAGAGGTGCAGTGAAACAAACCTGCTGCTTGGTGCACGCTCGATGGATCCTTCCTGCTGGCACCTCTGTTGGCTTTATCTTTCTTTCCATGGCAAATCATGGGCAGCAGGAGGTGATTACTGTAAGCCCTACACAAATGTTGGCCCTGCCTTCGCCTGGGGTGGGGGTCAATAAAGCCTGACCACCCTTGTCTGAGCCTGTGGCCTTATTTGCCCCTTGCAGTCCTTTCTTTTTGCCCCAGGCTGTCCTGATGCCCCAGTGACAAGAGCCTGCAATGAGGAATTACTGTAGGTCCTACAATAACACAGGAGTTGCACCCGCCTCCTCCACCAGCAGAGAGGGGACAGGGGAACCCCAGCTGGTTTCCTGAGTGGGTGGGAATTCTGTGACAGTAAGTGACTGGCAGCTGCCTCAGCCAATAGTTAGGGGAGAGGAGTGGGATTCAAATAGGGCGGGATGAGCAGTGACAAACACTCGGCCTGACCAATGGAAGAAGGAGGATGCAGAGTAAAGGGGCCACTAAGGAACGGAATGGAAGGCGGGATAAACCATGTTCATCTCCAGTGAGAGCCAACCGACGGTGGCATGGTTTGAGTGGCTACCAATGGGGATTTAGAAAAAGCCGGGAGGCAATGAATTGACAGATGAGTCGACCAATGAAAGGAGGACAATGCGGGGCTGGCGCCCAAAGGAGGTTGGCGGGCTAAATTGCGACAGACAGCTAGGGGACTCAATGGTAATCTTTCTAGGGGCCCAATGGATGAGCGAATGGTATCAAAGCCGGGTAGCGAGGCCCAAAGGCGCGGGAGGAGGGCAAGAGGGAAGAAATTTGACAACCCAGCGTTGCCAATGAGAGGCGGGCTCAGGACAGCGACCAATGAGGAATGGGAGGGCGGGTCGAACGGTGGACAGGCACCTGGAACAGCCAATGGTGGAGGGATAGAACGGCTGGGGCGGGGGGGGGGGGGGGGGGGGGGCGCGCGGCAGCGGCGGCTTGTTTTGTTTTGGGCCGCGGTTTGACCAATGGGAGTTGAGGAGCGCCCGAGCCAGGTCCCAGATGCAGTTGAATGGGCGGAGCGAGCAATGACGGATGCGCAGCACAACCAATGAGAATCATCGGTCTCGGGGCTGGGCCCAATGGGGAGCTGGGGGGCGGGGAGAGCGACGGCTAGGGCGCTGAGGTGGGGAGCGGCAGAGGGAGAAAGACCGAGCGGCGGTGGCTGCAGCGGGTGAGATCCTGCGTCTGTTTCGGGCCGGGCCGGTGGGGGCTGGGGACAGGTTATGGTAGGGGGTCTCCCTCCCTCTTGATTGTGGGTGTCGTTGCTGCTTCGGGGCGGGCGGGGACCCCTGCGGGAATGCGGAGGTGTCGGCGTTTCTATTACATGTGTTACGGTAGCACCGGGGCTACGTCCGGGGTGGAGACGGGTGCCGCCTCTATTATGTAGATTACGGGACCACCGGCTGCCCCAGTGCGCTGGCATCGGGGCCCTGGAGGACACGTGCGTTACGGCCATAGCTGCTCCCGCGCGCTCCCCGCTCTCAACCACACTGAGGCTTGGCTATTACAGTAATTACGGTAATCAGGGAATTATGATTCCAAGGTGGGGCATATATTGGGTGCATTACGGCCTTACCTGTGAAGGATTGGGGTGGTTTATTAGGTGCATTATGGCCGGGCCTGGAAAGGACTTGTGGCGGGGGCGGGGGTTGTATATTAGGTTCATTATGGCCGTGCCTAGAAAAGATTGGGGGGACGGGATCGTATATTAGGTGCACTATGCCCCTTCTCTCCCCTGCCCTGGCTTGCATCAGGGGCTTCTATTGTTCTGGGTGTGCCCCCGCCCCCTCCGCCCCTGCCCTCAGTGCAAGGTCAGGGCTGTGCCACCCCCTTTCCCAGCCTTGTGGGGAAACTGACGCAGGTGGAGCAGATGGGGGCTCCCACTGTGATAGTGGGGGAGGGGGAGCTGCCATCTGAAGCCGCTGGCCTGGCGCTATTGTTTGCGAAATGCTCAGTGGTGGCATCTGCAAGCCCAGACTGTGGTCAGGACCCAGGCTCCAGAACTGGGGGGGTGGGATCTGTGCCCCTCCTTCCTATGCCTCTGGGCAGGAGCCCAGCCTGGCCACTGTGGGCTCTCACCATCCACACTGGGCATGGGGAGATGACCCCGAATAGCCTCAGCCTGTGCCCGCCCAGGTATTCTCTGCCACTGCTGTCTGCCAGGCAGGCAGGCGAAGCTTTCCCAAAGTCCCTTCCACAACCAGAGCCCTGACACTGGCTTAGAGCAGGCAGCCCTCTCCACCACATGCCCCGGGAAAAGCACCCATGTAAGAACATAAGAACTGCTGCTGCCTGGGTTAGACTCTCCATCATGTCCAGGCTCCTGTGTTGCTCAGGTGAAAGCGAGGGAGCCTGAATCCACCATGATTCCATGAGCCACCCAGGACCTCAGCTGGCGGGTTCTGCACCGAGTGGTTCACAGCCACCCCCAACACCTGCCACTTCTGTAAGCAGAGGGAGACCCTGGTGCACAGCTGCCTTGAGTACGTCAGGCTGCAGCCCTTCTTCCGCCACCTCCAGAACCTCATTCTGGCTGCACTTCTCCCTGTACGTTTTCTTTTATGGACTTCCCATCTGCCGCCTCACCAAGTCCCAGAACCTCCTGGTCATCCTCCCCCTGGCTTTGGCCAAGCTGGCCATCTATAAAACAAGTGGGGAGACTCTGGCTGGGAGGAGCCCAGGTGAGTGTGGGGTTGCTTTCCTGGCACTTCTCCACTCATGTATTTGGACATAATTTCACTGGTCGGTGTCCTCAGGCTCCCTCGACTCCTTTGGGGCTCAGTGGGCACTAACCAGTGTGCTCTGCTCAGTGTCCCCTCCCGATGCCCCAGTTATTAACCTATGACCCCACTCCCTTTCCTCTTTTCTTTTTTTGTTGTCCCAAGCAATTAGTTGATGTGTCCCTAGTTGCTGCCCTTATACAGGGAGGCTTACAGTTCCCCTGATGGACTTAGGCCCGTGCTCTTTTACTGTATATCAATAGGTCTGAGCAATGAAGCCTGAATTCCACCGTGATCCCGTGAGCCACCCGGGACGTCATCTGGCGGCTCCTGCACTGAACATTTATCTGGCGCAGTTCGTGGACACCCCCAACACCTGCCCCTTCTGCAAGCAGAGGGAGACCCTGGTGTGCGGCTGCCTTGAGTGTGCCAGGCTGCAGCTCCTTTGCTGCCGCCTCCAGAACCTCCTGCTGAGGTTCTGGCTGCACTTTTCCCTGAACCTTTTTATTTTGTATATTCCCCTTCAGTGGCCCCAGGAAGTTCCTGGACCTCCTGTTCAACCTCCTCCAGGCCCGAGCCCAGCTAGCAATATATCTTATCAGGACGGAGGCTCTGGCTGGGAGGGCAGTGGCCCCGTGAGCCCTTAAAAAAAACAATAGGCCTGTTTCAGGGGTGTAGATTATAGCCATGTTGGTCTAAGGACATAGGCAGACATGGTTCTTTGGGTAAATGTGATTATCTTTTATTAAACCAACTCAAATAGTTGGAAAAATTCTTCTTAGCAAGCTTTGAGGTATAAATGCCCTTTGTCAGGCTGAGGAAGCATTTGCAGTTGGTGTGTGCTCTTTCTGGGTGAAGTGGTAAAGCAGCCAGAGGCCAGTACTTAGGCAAGAAAGCCAGTCAGTTAAGATGTAAATTGAGGTGGTCAGTAGGTGAGAGGTGGGAAAGGGGGAATGAAAGTGGCTGTAGTCAAAGGATGAGAGAGGAAGGTGGTGGGAAGGGAATGAGAGTAGCTGGTAAAAAGTAGAGGGTTTACCTGGGGAGTCAGATTTTAGGCAGGTTATAATGTGTCATAAATTCAATGACTATATTTAAACCCATGATTTTTTGTATCCAGTAGGTTGATGAAGTGAAGTTTGTAGGTAAACCCTCCCTAGGTAAACCCTCCACACTTTTTACCAGCTATTCTCGTTCCCTCCCCCCCACCTGTCTCTCACCTACTTACCACTTCAATTTACATTTTAACTGGCTGGCTTTCTTGCATCTATGCTGTCCTCTGGCTGCTTTACCACTCCATCCAGGACGAGCATAGACCATCTGCAGACCCTCAGCCTGACGGAGGGTGTTTGTGCCCAAAAGCTTGCTAGTGGCTGAAAGCTTGCTAAGGAGAATTTTTCCAACTATTTGAGTTGGACTAATAAAAGAGATTGGATTTACCCAAAGAACCTTGTCTGACAATAGGCCTGTGTCACCTAGAGTTTCACTGGGCAGTATCCACTGACTCCTTGGATTTGTTTGAGGGCCGGTAGGTACTGTCAGCAGTGCTCTGATCGGTGTCCCCCCACCTTGGAGCACTCATTATTAACCTGTGACCTCACTCCTATACCTGTTTTTGCTTTTAGCTGTCCCCACTAATCTGTTGATGTGCCCTTACTGGCCCCCATATTAAGAGGGGCTTATAGTTTGCCTTGGTGGGCATTGGCCCACGTTCCCCAATGTCATATCAAATAGCCCTATGTCACAGGGGCCAGAGGGTGGATGCTGAGAGTGAGCAGAGCATGAGCAAAGTTTTTTCCCCTCTGTTTACAGGTTCACAGAAGTTTAGGGCTGGAAGGGACCTTGTGAGATCATTGGGTCCAGCCCTCTTCTCTCCCACCCTATCCTGCATCTTGAAACAGGGAGCTATTCCCTACTGGTGATTTACATTTATGTGGGGGGGCACTTATTTTCTGATGAGCATCCATAGAAATGGCAAGCTTCTGGAGACCACTTACAGAAGGAGCTCAGTGTTTGCCTTGGTGCCTTCCTGGGAAATGCCTGGAGGAGCTGGCTTAATTTGGGGACAGCCTGGTCACAGTGGGATGTGGGGTGTTGATGGGACTGTGGGATTTGCTGGGAGGTTGGAGAGGCTGGAACTGAATATATGTTAACTCCTGGAATTTTAACTGTAACTAACTTGTTCCAGGAATGATTAATTGTGAGTAGCTCCATGCTGACTTGCAAGGAACCTTTATCAGAAAGCCCCTGCATCTGCCTCGGGGCTGATGCTGGTCTCTTCAGAACCG